TTAGGTAATTAACGAGCATGGATTTTTACCAAAACCTAATCAAATCTGCGCATTGGCCCAGAGCATCTATGCACCAAGTTTCATCAAAAACCGATGTATGGTTCTTGAGATAGCAGTGGAACAGTCAGACACACATACACACATACACACACACATACATACACACATACATACATACATACATACATACATACATACATACATACACACACACACACACACACACACACACACACACACACACACACACACACATACAGACACACTAACTGCAAAGACTCCCATTTTGTGCTTCGCACATGGGAGTCAAAAACATTTTTCTCTACTGTAAAACCATTTATTTTTACTGGCATTTTGTTATTTTAATGCTTTGGCAAAAAAGCAATGAGTTGTATTGTTATTTTACATGTTCATGTGGATTTAATTTAGCAGACTTACTTATCGACAAAAATAGCGAAATTTCTACTGACCCGCATAATTTGAAAAAATTTGTGTCTTGCAAAATTATTGCTGTTCACAGTAACAGAGTATAAATCACACCACCAAAGCATAATTCTTACCTTTTTCCTGAGCTTTCCTCGGATATGACAGAGACGTTTGACACCGTCGAAACACAACGCTTCTAACCTACCATTACCCAACATTTTAATAACCTGTGCGTATTCTGTAATGAAATAAATTGCACAACTAGTGATCAACTCAACAAGTTACTGAATATTGTTGAAAGCATTTTTCAAATGTTAAAGGTACCAGTAAGCCACAAGGCGACACTACATAGTAATTTAGCCTCCTGAAAACCCATGATACCGCCAACATTATTTATTTTCAATGTTGACGGCCATCATACAGCATACCGTATATGCAAATTTTGTGGAATAAGAAAGACTTTCTAATGCCCCCCACCTCTAATCCTAAATTTAACCTAACCCTTACTTTTCATTGCCCCCTCAAATTAAATGTATGTAACTGACTTGGGAACACCTATAGTTATCTAGCAGAGCATATACTACTGAATTGTTGGCTACAGGGTTTGGGGGTAGAATTAACAATGAAAAGTAAACCACCAAAAATCAAGCTGTTCTGAGTTGCCTTCAGAGCTGCAGGCAGACTGTCATAAAGTTTGCATAAACGCTATCCTAAAATTTATTAAAAGTTTAGTGGTTTTAGGCCAGTATATATCAAATTTCTCAATTTGTTCAGAGGCCATGGAGTAAATATGGAGGAAGTTTGTTTATAGGATCATATTATGAGGTTTTTGGTTAAATGACTAACGCATTTATTTCTTTATTTAGCAATGATATTTTGGCTGTAACAATGTTTTGATGTATAATATCTTTATTTCGTACTGTGGCCATTGGCCTTATGTACAGATACAAATAAATGCATTATAAATTATATTGGAATGGTCGCAGATTTAAGTAAAGAAAGTGTTCTCTCCAAGCATAAGTTGTCGTACTTAAAAGCTATAAAATATAAATTTACCATTACTATTTATTTTCCTTGAAATAATGTCTTTACATGGATTTTTATGGAAATTGTTTAAAAAATACCCATTTTTTGCATTTTGTCACAAGATTTTCTCTAAAACCATAGTGTGTACCGGGTAAAAACGCCCATGTTGTATGTCAAAATATATAATTAAATAGCACCTTCAAAACCAAATATTGCAATAAAATTATATTTAATATGATAAAATACCCGCATACGACCTTAATCACTTAAGTTGTATTCATTGTTATGTACAGTTAGCTCTATTGCTTCTATGTATCCAAATATACAGAGCCGGGGGGG